GCACTTGTTAACACTTTTTTGTCTCTGATTATTGTTTATAAGTTCAAGGTTACAATTAAGTGTTTAAACTGTCATATCATGCTTTCGCCGGATTGTCTGCTTCTTTGCCGCCTGCTTTCCTCGAAAGTAAGTCTAGCTCAAGACTTGACAATCTTGCTTAGAGAACGGTTTTCACAATAATGGCTTCAAATAATTTACAGTTATATCTTTGTTCCATATGCAAGAATGTGTTTTTATCTCTCCATCACTTTAATGATCATTCGTGCCAAAAACAGACAGTTTCGCCAGTCCAACCAGAGCTACTGGGGAGGAGTAATGTTAGGGTTATTTCCAGGTATGTGCGACGGGAAAAAAACAGTTCTTTTGAACTGTTCAACAGTATTAGTCTTATAAACAAATGTCTGATGTCAGACAGGATGTCCCCTGCAAGTCCATGATCAAGATGTGAAACCACAGGCACTTGGTATATGGGGTACCCCCTACTTATTTTTACCACAAGGCCTCAGGATCATGGATGGTGTCAGTATGATGCCTTCTATCAATAAATTACACATTTTTGAGGCACGTGTATTGAATATTTTTCTGATGTGAAAGATTATGCCGTCTGACATGAAACATTTGTTTATAAGACTGATATACTTTGTGTAATATATTGTATCCGGTTCTTGGGTTTCCATATAAAAAAAGAACAAGATGGTTTCGGGTGTGGATCCAGTGTTTTATATATGAGTTTGGAACATTGTGATGATTAGGATCATGATTAGGATATTTAGGATCAACCCTACAATAATAACAACACATAAACACACATATACATACACAATACAAAGACAATACAAACAAATAAACGCATCTTTAACACAAAATTATTTCTAGGTCACCATGAAATATTTAAAATAATTAGGTCGCATATCACTCAGTTAATTAGCTCTTTGGACCATTATACAAGTCTTTTACTCTTAATTTATAGAAATATCCTATAAACAATATTTATATTAATCAGTCTGATATGTACACAATTCTGCCTTATATCAGAACAGTCCCATTATGGAACAAGGTGAATTCCCATTATTTAAACATCACCTCAGATATGAAAATGACCTATTTAACAATATGTAAAATTACAACAAATTCACAAATCCCTTATTTGGGACACATAAATAAAGAACTTAGCTATGCACACTAACTCGATTCCCGCCTACATTTTACACCCATTTCATTCAGTACAAATGGCAATTTGACCGTAAAATCTTTGTTGAATGAGAAGAACAGTTAAATGGTAATTGACTGATATTTTTAATGCCGGTGTTAAATAGTTAATTACCCCTTAATCCAGCTCTTAAAATAAGGGGGGTAGACGATATTTTCCATTGAAATCGGGCTTTAAAGCATCAACACATTTTAAAATATTCTTGGATATGAATAAATGTTCATTAAATCATTTCTTATGTTTTCCGCATATAAAATTAAACATATATCATTAATAAAATACAATGTTTTAGTTGTAAAACCCTTTGAAATTGGTGAAAAAATAAGCATTTTTGTAGTTTTTTGTCTCCCCTCCCCCCTGTGAAACACAAAAAGCTTTGGTATGAATTTGTGAAATGACAGTCCATATTACCTGTAAAAAGGAATTTTTGTTTCGCTGGGAGGAAAGATGTTTTAAAAATATTTTCCAGTTTCCGTTGATTTCTATAAATATTTTATCAATTTACATATATATACATACATGTATCTTTCAAACACTCACACTTTATTTAGCAAGTTTAGATTAAAATGAATTATTTAGATTTCTCATTCATAAGGAAATTATTTAGGTGCTTATTTAATAGTTTAATTATTTATTGAATTTACTTTCAGGAATAAGGGTAGTTTCCAACTCAATGAAATATGTATAAGCTTCACACCCTTCAAAACCAGTTCTCCAAGTAATAAAGAAATCATGAATCTAATTCCCGCCAATTCCAGCTAAAACCATTCAACAACACTGACCAATAGAAATCAATGTTACAATCAATGATGGAATAACCCATCTCCTACAATTAATTAAAATAGATATCCTAAAAATAAAAAGTACAACTACCACATAATCCTTGTTGGTTTAAGTATACTTAGTCTAGCTCTTAGTAATAGTCACTTAAATCTCTTGTTACTTGTAGTGAAACTGAAGGAACAGAGGGTAAGAGAAAGTTATTTTTTTTATATATTTGCCTGCATTTTATAAGCTATGTATGAATATTGCAATGTTTATTAGAATACTATAAGTGCTATTCTGGTTTATTTATTCACATATTTTTTTTAATTTATTTTCTCTAGTTGAACAGAGTCCTGATCAGGAGGAAATTAATAACACCACAACAGGTTTTATAAAATTAATATTTGGCAAATTATGATATAAAAATTTTGGATAAAAAATGGAGAACAGGACAAGGGCAATCTCCCACTGACTCTGGGACAGTATTAAAAAGAAATAGAAAAATATTGTCTCCATATTCTTTATATATGGTCAAAATACTTGAAAATTAGATATTTTTCTAAGTAAAAATATTAAAATGTGTAATGATCATAAATAAAAAAAAAAAGCAAAGTAAATTTCATGCAACTAAAAATAAAATATCAAGAATAATAAGGCAATAAGATGTTTTACTTGAATTATTTGGGGAATTCTAGTTTGATGTTTGGAATTAGTAGGACAGATCCAGAATTTGAAGGGGGGGGGGTGATAAGGCAGGGACCTAGACCCTCTGAATTCTAGGGATTTAGTAGGGCATGCAGAAATAGTTTTCTAAGTACATGTAGATATTTTTACTATTTTTTGTCTTCATTAGAATTAATAAAATTATGAATATATTTTAAGGTTTGTGAAAACAGAGCCTCGGAAATAACGCCCCCAAGCTTGCAAGAATATATATAGAAATAAGTCTTTTATTACTACCGCTTTATCTAATAATTTATTTCTTTTTAAAGAGATAAAACCACAAATGAATGAATGTGACAAATCTATTGGGGATGCATGGTAGGAATGCCCCTCTTAAATCTCTACCACTGGGGATTGATACAATAAGCAAAAATTTGGAAAACTAATTTAAGATATTTAACATACTTATTCCATGTGACCAGTTTGAAAAAATTATAAAGTTAACCCTTTTTCAGTGGCACAACCATCAGAAGGATATGAGAAACAAGAAGGTTATTTACTTTGTTTTCTCTTATTATTTGTGTGCATGCTTTACATGTATTTTCAGTTTTGGTCTTATTTGAGTTGGAGCAATTCAATTTTTTTTATAGCAGAATTAAAGTGAAATTGAATAAATTAAATTAAACTTTATTGCTATAAGATGCTTTCTTATATAAGAACCATTTTCTGGTAAATGTTTATTTATTTATTATTTTTTTGTTTTGTTTTGTTTTTTGTAGGGCATTCTGGTTAGCCTTGTCTGTAATCCTTGTCCACCCTTATGTTATTTCAATACCCTTTCCTATATACCCTTATGTGTTGCTAATTGTCATCAATGTAGATCTGTGGGTTCGAATCCCACCACTGCTTAGTTTTAAAGTCAGAAGTAGTGTGTATTTTGGAATATCTCAAGTATTTTGCTAACCACTGAACACTTCCATGTCTTGTCCTTTTAAATTGGCTCTTTTTCATCAAATGTCGTGATTTTGTTTTACCTTTCTTTAACCAGTTATGTTTAAGTAAAAAGATTTTAGTATGATGGTTTATTTTAACAAAGTTTGAATCGAAATATAATTATATATATATATATATATATATATATATATATATATATATATATATATATATATATATATATATATATATATATATATATATATATATATATATATATAATCAAGGAGAGAAATAATAAAACTGGGGACAGTCAACAATCCTGGAAATACTTTGATGCTATGGACAAGGTTTTACATGGGGACCTGCTGTTCAGCCAGTGGCTGCCGCATCTAGTTTAAGTGTATTAGGAACGCAAAAGTCTGTACCCCTGAAACCAACTCCATCCTCTCCTAAAAAAAGAAAATCTGAAAAAGAACCAGGCTGGGTGACAGATTACAGAATGGAATTAAAGAAAATGCACCAGGAGAGGATGGAGTTGGACAGGCAGAGATTAAACCTTGAGGAAAGAAGGGTGCAGGCTTTAGAACATCTAGCTGAAGCATTGAATAAATAGGTAAAACATATGTAATCAGTTGTACCCTAACAAAACAGATAAATATTTAAATAAATATTTAACAGCTACAACAATGTCCTTTCAAATGGATAAAATGATTGAAAGATATTGATAAAGATACCACAATCTGTTTGAAGTTAGTATTTTATTGATCCATTAATAGTTAAGTTATTATTTATATCAGTTAACAAGATAAAATAACAGTAGCTACCAATGAACCAAGGAAATTGATTATTTTATTGTCATATCTATTTTTTTCAGAATACAGCTTAAAACTATTATAAAGACAAAACTATACACAGTACTACCATGATGGACCTCTTTAGGAACTAAATAATGCAATTTTACCAAAGTCTACTTTGAATTTCAAATCTTTAAAAAGATTCAAATGTACTTTGATTTAAATTTTTGGAAAAATGATTAATGTTATACAGCATTTCTGAGTTCTAGTAAAATAAAATGCAAGTGAAAAAGTATACTATATTTCCTATTTTTAGCCAAGGTTAAAGTTTGGTAAAATTCTGCAAAACTGCCAGGGTCAAACTCCAAGATCAAGGTTAAAAGTTAAAAGGTCAAATATGATGGTACTCAAAGAAAGGTCTTGCCACAAGGAATACACATGTGAAATATTAAAGCCATAGCTCCAACCAATCAAAAGTTATGGGCAATGATAAAGTTTTTGCAGACAGACAGAAGGACAGACAGGGCAAAACTATATATCCCCGAATCTTTGATACGGAGGAATAGAAATACGCCATATATGACTTTAACAGATTTCCACAGTAGCATTAATAGGTACGACAAACTAGTCTTTCATGCTAGCAAGTGCATGATCTCTTGTCTTTTGCACTGTCCAGAGACACTTTCTCCTTCATCATTATCAAAATCATGTAACAAATTCTCACCTCTCTGCTCAATTTCAACTTCAGTATCGGGCTCATAATCCTTTTCATGCATAATGATGAAATTATGCAGTGCACAACATACAATAATCATGCTTGGAATTTCTTCAACTTTATGCATGTCTAAAAATTTCAGTTTTCGAAATTTACCTTTAAGTAACCCAAAACATCTTTCAATGTCTACACGTGTTGAGCTATGGGCACTGTTATAGCATTTTTGCTCAGTAGACAGATGATCATTGTCACGAAATGGTGTCAAGAGAAAAGTTGTTAAAGGGTAGGCGGAGTCTCCAAGTAGATGGAACTTTGGAGGGAGCTCCTGAAGTGCTTGGTAAAGAGGGCTATTTTTGAATACTCGTGCATCGTGCACAGAACCAGGGTAGGCAGAGAATACATCCAAGAACTTCAGATCACTGTCGCAGACTGCTTGTAAGTGCATGGCTGGATAACCTTTCCTGCAAATGTAGGAGTCTCTATAATTTGACGGCCCACTAATTGGAATATAAGTCCCATCTAGAGCTCCCACAACGCTCGGAAAACCTGCTCTACGTGAAAAATCCTCTGCTACATTTCTTGGCTTAGAAATGAGTTGCTGGAGGATATCGTGGTCTGAACACGGCATTGAATTTTGCAATATAATAGTGGAGATTCCCTTTACTAATACCAAATCTGTCAGCAACACTTCTGAAGGTTTCAGTATTTCCAACATACCAATGCAAGCCAAAGTACGCCTTTCTAAGGAAATGTTCCTGATGTTATGTATGTGGGGTCCTATGAGTACTAAAAGTTCCTGTAAATATAAAAATATATGTATAGGTATGTATGAACAGAACCATTTTACATGAGATCTTAAAATAAAATATAGGCATGTTTGTAAGTAAATCAAATGTTATATAATTACATAAACTTTCAGTTTAAAATTTAAATCTTATTTAGACACTGGACATAATAAGTTTTATCAATTAATGATAAGATTTTAAATCATATTACATTTTGGAAATCAAACAAAATATATGACAGGATAGACACAAAAACAAGACTTGAAGGGTAATGGTTAGCAGGGCAATGGAGACCTCCCATATGAAATACACTTCTGTCGACCAAGTATGCAGTGGTGGGATTTGAACCCACAGGTCCCCATATCAGACTGTTAGCAACACATATAGGTTTCTATGAAAAGATAGAAGCTATTACATAGTTAACAAGTTGTGTTTGTGAAACACTGATGTCCCTGTATGGCAGCTGATGGCGAAGGTTAAAGTTTCTCAAATGCAAGTCAAAATCCAGGCCAAAGATAAAAAATGTTGGTACCCAAAGAAAGGTCTTGTCTCGAGGAATATACCTGTGAAATTTGAAAGCCTTAGCCACAACTGTTCAAAAGTTAGGCGAAGGTTAAAGTATTTTAAAAGTAAGTAAAACGTCAAGGTCAAAGTTGTTGGTACCCAAACGAAGGTCTTATCTGAAGGATTACATATGTGAAGTATGAAAGCCCTAGCACCAACCATTCAAAAGTTATGACCAAGATTAAAGTTTTTCAAAAGTAGGTCAAACTCCTATGTCAAGGTCAAGGGTCAAAGTGGTTGGTATCTAAAGAAAGGTGATGTCATAAGAATCAAATATATGAAGTATGAGAGCCCTAACATCAACCATTCAAAAGTTATGACCAAGGTTAAAGTTTTTCAAAAGTAGGTCAAGGTCAAAAGGTCAAAGTGGTTGGTATCCTAAAAAAGGTCTTGTCACAAGGATTACATATGTGAAGTATGAAAGACCTAGCTCCAATCATTCAAAAGTTAAAGCCAAGGTTAAAAGTTTTCAAAAGTAGGTCAAACTCCTAGGTCAAGGTCAAAGGGTCAAAGAGCAGGGTTCTCCATGGGCCGTTTAACGTGGCGGCCCCGCCACAGTTAAACGCAGTACAGTTAAGGTGCCAAAAGGAAAAATCGGCGAGTTTTTTAGACAGAAAATACATTCTTTAGAAGGATGGGCGATTCTTTTTAGACCTTCACTATTATCGGACAAATGTAATGTGGCTGAAAACTACATGTTGAGGACGTTTATATTTCTTATTTAGATTTGTCACGTAATGTGGCAGTCACGTGATTTTAGCAAGTATACCTGCAGTATTGAGGTCATCTATAAATTCTAATATTGCAAGGGCATAACCAAGTTAAAAATCTAGGTTTAATTTATAATTATTTTCAACACTCTTTGTAGTTTGTGAAAAGTGCTGCGAACCTATATAAATTCTACTATATAATTGCTAAAACTACATTTTTTAGACCGTATGTTGAAAATTTTGCTGGTCAAGTACATTAAATGTAGATATAATTAATTCATTTGGAAGATTTCATCAGGTTCGCAGCACTTTTCAAATATCTTCATACCTCTTGAGTTTATGTGTAAAAGCTTGTCGTAATTCATTGAGGGTATGCCCTTGCAATAAATCGATTTATTACGACCCTTCTATTACCCTTCAATGAATCTGCATACAAATGTACGGCAGTTTCACTTGTCTAGGGAATGTTCGGGAAGTACATGAATAAAATCATAAAATAGACATCGCATCCAAGATAATGGCCTCGTATATATCTGCAAATAATATTTTATTTAACTACAAAACACATTTTTCATTGTATAAAATATAACTTGATCCGCCTCTCACTGCATACAAACTGCGTCAAATTTTACGATATGACGTCACATCGACAAGTGCATTGCGATCAGTGAATTGTTTATATATTGCTGTGTGGGATTTCACCAACGACAAAAATACATGCAATAGTAAGTATTGATGTAGTTTAAAGTTATCCAAGTTATGTATTTTTGTGTGATGTCATAGTAAGCATTTCCCGTAAAAATTAGGCCCCGCCTCCTTATTGCAGCCTTAACTGTGCTGCGAATGCCTTAGCGCCACAGTTAAAAAATCAGCGCCATTGTTCCGCCACAGTTAAAATATTAGCGCCACAGTAAGATTGTCGTCGTCAGTAAGATAAATATATAAATTTAAAAACCAAATGAACTTCCAAATTATGTACCGTTTTTTAGTTTCTAATGCTAAACCGTTAATTTACTCTAATTAGCCCATTGTTTGGCTTGCACAAGCAATTATCTTCTAGTCCTCGCTAGACACTTGAATGAAAAGAGACAAGCCATATTTTCCACACCTCACGATAATTGCAAATGAAATTTTTAATATTAATTAATTCATGCTTTAATAGTTCTACAGATAACCACGTCTCTAAAATTGCACATTGACACTGCGAGTCAAAAACACCGTACGTGTATCGTAATCATGTGTTTTTGTACTCTTGAAAAATTAACGATAGATCCACCAAAATATTATTTTAAAACTAAACTACTTAAGTATTTTTTAATTCACAAGTTTTAAGATATTTCAGTCTTCAGACCGATAATTGCAAATATATATAGATGTTAGCGTAATGTGTGATTTACCAGAATTTCCTCTGTCCTTTAATGAACATTCTATAATTTACCTTTTGTAAACAATTTTTTTAAAGAGGGTTTTATGTCAGAGTATGCATATATTTTGTTTTACACCATGTTTAATCGATATCGACTAATTGCTTTTATTAATAAATCAATTTGCCAAATTATGAAATAATAAATGTCATTTATGTATTAAATTATTGATTCATTGGGGTTGTGTGTTTTTCAATTTATTTCGGTCGCGAAATGACCGCGAATATTAGCACTTCACGTAAGTCTTCCGCCACAGTTAAATTTGAAATGAGGGAGAACCCTGAAGAGGTTGATATCCAGAGGAAGGTCTTGTCACAAGGAATACACATGTGAAGTTTGAAACCCAAAGCACCAACTGTTTAGAAGTTATGGCCAAGGTTAAAGTCTCATAAAAGTTTGCAAAAGTGGGTCAAACTCCAAGGTCAAGGTCAAAAGGTCAAATATGATGGTACCCAAAGAAAGGTCTTGTCACAAGGAATACACGTGTGAAATATGAAAGTCATAGCTCCAACCAATCAAAAGTTATGGGCAAGGTTAAAGTTGACAACAGCCAAACGGACAAACAGACAGACAGGACAAAAACAATATACCCCCGGGATCTTTCGATCCAGGGGCATAAAAAGCATGTTCTCATAAATAAACATGGTAAATTCAGAAAGTAAACAACTCCACCAAATCTGAACAATTAAATAACTATAATCATGAAAGGCTTTCACTTTTTTCTCTTTATGATGGAACCGTTCACGGTAGCTCAGTCGGTAGAGCGCTCGCTCCGTGATGGGGAGGTCGTGAGTTAGAATCTCGACCGCAACAGACCTAAGTCGATAAAATGGGTAGCAACTGTTCCTTCGCCATGCGCTCGGCACTTTGAAGTGAACGCAGGTAGGTTAAGGCTTCCCGAAGAATATCACATTGCACTCTGTGCCTTCACATCTCTGAACTACCAAAATATGACGTCATAATGGAAAATGACGTCAAGTCACTACAAACTTGAGATGTTATGCAGGGAGAGTGTCATGAATTTTACACTTTATTTCAAACTGCATCTAAAATACTAGATAGCTATTGCAAAACTCACGGGTCGTTAAAGGTTTTTTAAGTCCTTTATGTCCGAATATTTTAAAAATACACCGCTTACCTACCCTTGATTGAAATTCAGCATGTTCAAAATGCTTATGAAAAATATACTTTTGAAATGTACTCTGTTTTATACCCGTGGTTGAAGGTAGAATTTATTTTGTGTATATAAAAGAGTCTGGCGCAGGTGATTAATGAGGATTAATCTGAGAATTTTTGTGGAAATCTGTAAGAAGAGGTTGTTCTCTAACTGAATCTTGCTTGGGAAAAATGTGTGTTGGCTTTATTTTAATACAGATTACGATATTGTGTGGAAAATACCCTCAAATTTGTAGGTAAGTTGAATTTCTCAGTGAATATTTTGTATCTAAGTAATACTGTGACTTTTCCCAAGCAAATTTCGGATACACAAGGATACGTTGAGTTTATTTATATTACAAAATGTTAATAATTATTATGTTAATCAGCTGTGCCGAAGAGATTTATATGAAACACTTCAAAAAAATCATAAATGACCGTCATGTGATTAACAAAGTCATGTGATATCATAACAAATATGTTAATATATAGCCGAGGAAACCCTCTATATACATTGGAAGTACTAAAGTTCAGTACTTATAAATTAAAACCAAAACCGACCTCGCAATGACATATTATGTTTTTAGCGCATTTTAAAGCTTCGGGAAGCCTTAACATAGCTGCGAAAGTTGCGGGTCCTTCGGATGAGACCTTAAAAACCGAGGCCCCGTGTCACGGCAGGCGTTGGCACGTTAAAGATCCCTCACTGCTCAATGGCCCTGAGTGCCGAGTAAAGGTCAAAATTTGAAGCCCTTCACCGGTATATGGTGACGTCTCTATATGAGTGAAAAATTCTCGAATGGGACGTTAAACAACATGTTAAACAACATACAATCAATCAATCTTTATGATGGCTTTTTAGGAGTTATTTGAGCACTCCACTTCAACCCTCTAAAAACCAGTACATCTTTTTTTTTCGTATGCTCTCTCTCTCCCTCTTATAAAAATAATTTTTTGTAGATTAAATTTGGGTTAAAATCATGATATGAT